TGGTCTCGAGGCCTTTGACTGCATCAGGTGACAGAGCATTTTAATTCCATCTCATCTTTTAGTCAGCTACAGGAGTCAGTGGGACCAAGACTGACCCAGTTTCAGAATGTGAAAAAATACTCATCTTGTAGCTGCTAAGGCTGCTGACACATTATTAAGTTTTTTTTCTAAAGATGACTCTAAGAGACACTACTAAACGATGTTCTAAGAAGACAGTGTGTGTTTTTTCTCACCGGATCATCTCAGTCCACCGCACGGCCTCCTGGAGCTCCATGAGCCTCTCTTTGTACTGGTTCCTCTCCATCAGAACCCGGGCCATCTCGACACGTGTGAACCGCTTCCTCTGGGCTGTGGGGACATCGCTCTGGCAGGAACAAAAATATTAAATCTTGGTCATAAAACCACAAGACCACAGGCAAGTTTGAGGGTTACAGAAGCCAGCTCAGCCTCTTGTTCCTTGGGTTGCTTGAAAGATACCATCTAAAGGCCCTGTCAATCTGCTTGAGTGTTACCAGTGAAACTGCTGCCATGGCAACGATAGCCCACAACTCTTAGCTGAGAGGCCCATCACATATCTGATCCTTAATCTGCCTGCTATCTTGACCTAGTTTCTTTGACCTTGAAGGCATATCTGGATTTACCATTGTCAGTCCCTTCCAGAATTCTAAATACTTCTTTCAAATCCCAGTAAAGTCATAGTACACTACATATCTGTATAAGAGGTTTTGAAATTAGCCGTCTTTAATTAAAGATTTTCACACCAAAAGACTATCCATCATTTTGCCAAAAACAAAACTGTTCAAAGGCTGCCTGACTCATACAGCACTGCAATGACACCTGAAAACATAGTGAAAATTCTATAGATTGAACAAAATCACTTTGTGATTCATGGATTGTTTTCTGTCTGTTAAGAGATATGCATGTCCATTAAATCCTAAACCACATAAATGTGAAAAACCTTTCTTGGAAAAGAGGATACATTTCTGTCGTGTCAAACTTACATCATCCTCCTCCTTAGATTTCTGCTTTGCTTCTTCCACTTCAGCACGCACCCTGTAAGACAAAGCATTCTGGGATCTGAACCCCTTGTGTACTCTGTTATCGTTCTGACTCTACACTGAACTATTTTTCACATTTACCTGTTCTCCATAATCATTTAAATCCTACAGAAAAGGAGAATGGAACTCATAATGAATTAGGCGTTTTAGCTTCAAATACTGCACATGTAAGAAAAAAAGTCACTTGAAAACATACAGCACTTAAACTCAAGGCTAGTAGTTCTGTGAAATTATTTATTCTCCCATTGTTAACTGTAGAAGATCCTTTCTGGTTTTGATTAATACCTCCAATGGTAGAGAGAAAGTACCCAAGACTTGTTTTTATTTACAATCCTTATGCTTATACCACACCCAGGAAAACTTTATCTTAAAACCACTTTCTCTCGTTTGTTACTACAGCAGACTTCCCGGAAAAATTTTAAGTGCTGCTTTAAACTGTTGTTTTGGGAATATTAATTTAGGCTTGTGTAAAACTGATGATGTATAAATGCTTTTCCTTCAAACATAGTATTTAAAGCCAAATTGTGTGTGCCAGATACAGGAAAAGATGTGTTAATTGATGCATTATAAAGAGAATCCTCATTTTCAGGTCTCCCTGCAGTGACCTGAAGCATGAACCATCTGTTGTGCACAGAATTTTCAGAACAGGGTATTCCAACATTTCTTTAAAAACGGAATAACTGGGGAGTTAGGTTAATACAAAACAGTTTTAGCACATGTATGAGAAAGGTGTGACAGTTAAATTGCTGAAGTAAAGTGGAGCTTCACACAGTTTTTGAGAGAAGTCTTTCATTTTAACTTTACTTCCATTACTCAAAATGTCCTACCGCTTATTCCTGGAATTATCCTGATAGGGGAAAAAAAGGCTTAAAAAAGGATTGAATGGACATGTGCCACTTAGTTCTGGGGTCCTGGGATTTATTCCAGAGTGTCAACTCTGTGTAAATCTGCAAAAACTGAGGAACTATACAGATTCCACACAAAGTGCTCTGGTTTCCTTTCACCTTTAAAGACATTCTGGTTTGGTTAACTAGTGCTGCGAAAGTCTATGTACTCGTCCTCAGTGGACTGGAATCGTGCTCTGGGTCTAGTCCTGCTTGTGCCCAATGCATACATTTCAGGTTGCTTCAACCATTACCAGGAATAGGCATCTTTCTGATGATGAAGGGAAAATGTAAGCAAAAAAAAATGTGCGTCTTTAGATCCAGAATACATATAAACTTCAACCACCTGGCCATCCAATTATTATTGCACATGCTACATATAAATGTTGAATAATGACTTCTCTTCTCTTTAGTTAGAATACCGTGGGAAGGCATAATGTGTCACTTAGAGCCAAAGAAATCTTTTAAGGTGAATCTTACATGGCACACTATTATAACACCATCACAAAGACCAACATACTTCTGATATTGGCTCGTCTGGCACCACAGCATTTGCAGTGAACAGTCGTGCACAATTCATGTGCCAGAAGTGACTGAAGCTGCACTTACTTCTTCAGCTCTTCCTCCAGCTCCTTGTTCTTCTCCTCCAGTTTGGTTTTGGCTTGCTTGACGGCCTCCAGCTCCCCCTGCAACACCTCCTTCTCGCACGACAGCTCATCCACTTTGGCGATCAGGTCATTCTTCACCACGTTCAGAGCATTCCTGTGTGAGGTGGGGAGGGCAATGGGGATTCACAGGGGTCATTGGGGTTTTGGGTGTTAGACCATGTGCCTTAAACACCTAATAAAAACGCAAGGTGGCCCTTCAGTAAGTGCAGAATTGTAATGGGAAATCAAAAAGGCCAGCATGACTTAAACAGGCTCTAGATATAGTGTAGAATCATAACAGAATCACTGTGCTATTCTTACAGAATATAGTGCTATGGAACCTTACTCACAAAATGACAATGACTTCTAAAACTTCCTCCCCTACAATTTAATCACCAGAGCTCACCATTTGAACATTTGAACGATCACAGGCGGAGCAAGGATTGTGGACTGTAGAACCATATGCTATTTTTACACACCGATACCACACTGTGTCTACAGCAGAGGTTGCAACAACTGGAAGAGTAATGCAGTTGTCAAAATGACCCTGCAAGTACACAGAAACCTAGCAAGTCACAAGGCTGGATGACAGAAGACTAAACCCAAACTAATTATTCCGGCACTTTTAATTTAGTGCCAATGTTATAGTGTGACATTTGACTAAAACCCTTACTACCTGCCTACCTGCTATTGGTGAACTCCTGTATTCAACCTGATCTGCAAAAAAAGTTTTTACTGCTTGAGCCCTTTCCCCCTAACAACCCTTAAAGTTTTAAAAAATTACTCAGGAAATTCAAGGACTCAATGTAACTTGCTTCCATAAACCAAGAGCTGCTTTCTGACCCACATAAACATCATGGTTATGTGGTTAACAACCACAGAAACTCTTAAGGACTTCCAGTAGAGTAACAAATATGCTGCAGCCAATGGCAGCTAAAATACACAGCAAGGCCACAGATAATCATTCTAATAAATGTGAACCTTAGATGCTCTCAAGTGTTAGGGTAATGTATAAACTCTTGCTGAAACAGGAATTAATTTCTACTCTATGTGGCAGCTGGTGATCATTATGAGAGACGACTTTAATCTCCTGCTCCGAACCTCATTAAACGCACAGATGTCCGTGCCAAATTCTGCATGCTGCCTGCCTAGTGCAGCTAAAATAAAAACCATGGATTAAACATTATGCAAAGCTCTTTTAATATTTTCAATCAACAACACTGAAGACTATATTAAACACTGAAGACTATTTTAAACACTACAGTACTCGTGTAAAAGGCTGTTCATTGTTTTACCTTTATTTTTTTTATCAACGCTACAAAACCCACAATCCCACCATCAACATACTTTGTCTCCAGGAGCTGTGTGTTTTCAAGGATGAGGTTTTCTACTTCACGGCCCATACCTGATGAAAAGAGAAAGGGATGTTTCCTTAGAAGATGCTTTGGACAACACATGATCAAGTCTAGACTCTTCAGACTTTTATATTTTATATTAATAAAAGCCTTGGCATGGAAAATATGTTTCACTCTGGTTCCAAAACCATCTGTCAAAACTACACAGTGATATGATAGGATGTCCATCTTATAAATTAATTTATTCTGAGGCTGGGTTGCCAACCAACTTTCTTGGTAAGTTTTACCTTATGTGTGGATTCAAACCTCTCATTGAATAATGAGATTCCAACATCTAAGAATGGATTTATTAATTTATCAGTGATCATCTAGTAATGTTTTGCTATTGAAATAAGGACTGATTTTTTTTATATTGAATTATATTAAGAGTTTCCATTTATGAACATATAAAAAAACTGTTTCAATGCTGAAAGAAATTGAAAATTTTCCATGGACACAGA